TTAGTCAAAATTATTTTTGCCAATGTCAAAATTTGTCTAAATTAATTTTGACTAAATGTCTAAATGTCTAAATTAAGGTTTGTTTAAAAAATGACAAAGTCAACACTAGTTGATCGGACGGTAATACAAACTCTTAAAAAATCCTTTTTTTGGTATTACCGGCACAAATAAGTAAATCCCCAGCGACTGTACTGAACAGATTTGACCGATGATCTGCAACCCGCATATTCGTATGTAGATTAAAAGTGCACAACAGGTTTTTTAGAAGTTAAGGAAGATTATTTGTATTGTATATATTGTTGAGGATAAAAGCAGAATTGCTCACTTTACTAGTTTAAGAATTTAAAATCCAAACCTTGGGTTCGAACCCATTTACAACCTCAAATTTAGCGAAAGAAAAATACAAACACAATGTAATAAAATATTTTTTGTTGAGGATAAAAGCAGAGTTGTTTACTAATTTAAAATTTTAAACCCCAAATCTTGGGTTCGAATCCATTTACAACCTCAAGTTTAGCAAAATAAAAACACTAACGCAATGTAATAATGAATATAATAGAATAAACCACTTGGTTTATCTAAGTAAACTTTTCATCTGTGGTGTGTCCGGAAATTCTCGCAGGAAAGACATTTGAGGTGGTGGCGTGAATTGATCGTTTCTATACTTAAAATCAACTGCGACCTTTTCAACCCGCTCCTGTTATTGCGGAGAGCGAAATTTATAAACAAAAATATATAATTACAAGCTTGAAAAAACATGCTATATACCTCGAGAGCAATAAAATGGCTTATCGCGAATTCCGCTAATGGGATCGCATTCTTGTTTACAACTAAGTTTGTCGTTAAAAACGTCCAAGAACGGTAAAGTCCGTCATATTTTAAATCCATAATATATGACTCCATTGAATTCCCTTATTATTATAGAATATTATTCATTATAAATATATATCAATATCTGATATATACCTCTTAACTGATACGTACAGTACCCAACAAAAGTAACGCCCGATGATCAATTTTATAGTAAATTACATATAAAATCCTTTTTAGGAAATCTTGTTACCAAAAAAACAAAAAAACGCGTTTTTTTCGACTCGGTGAAAATTATACATCATAAAATATAAACATCAAATTTTCTGATCGTATAAATTACAAAATATTTTTTTTATCAAACTTTGGATTTTTAACAATTTGAAAATTTTATGTTTTTACTATGTTTTTACTATGTAAGTTTTATAAAATTTAATTGTAAGTTTTATGTTATATTAAAACTTATATTTTTTTATAAAATAATTTTTTTATTTTACGTTACCCTTAAAATATAATAACACTATTTTAATAATTTTAGTTAATTTTTTTTAAAACAATTTTTTTAAATTTTATATTTAATTTTAAAGTCAAATTTACAAATTTTATATGTTTTACATATGAAATTTTGAATCGTAAACTTCATAATTTTAAAAAAAATAATTCTCAACTTGTTCCACTCGATGAAACTCAGATATTATATAATATTAATATTGAATTTACGAATTAAATTAAAAAACTTTTTTTAAAATAAAAAGAATATTGATTTTTACGACTACATAAATTTCAATTTTTTATATGTTTTACTATAAAAATGATCATCGGGTGTTACTTTTGTTGGCTACTGTACATACCTAATACGTATCGAATTTTCTGTAAGAAAGTGTGATTTCCAAAGATGTGATGATGTTCTGAGTCATTTCACAATTTAAGTCGATTCCGAATTGACCTAGGTTATTTTTGAGCTATATTAGAAAAACTATTTTATGGTTCAAATAAAAAAAAATTCTTATAAATAAAAAATGCGAAATACAAATAAATAAATAAAAAAGTTCTTCAGTTGCAACAATGTAAATAATTTTAAATTTTGGGTTATAAGTCGTTAGGATTTTTAATTACAATTAAACATTAATTATATTTATTTTGATCCATTAAACAGCGATTGTTTTTCCTTTGATGGTTAAAAGTTTTTAATATTCGATCAAAGGTTTCACACGTCAAAAGGTTGTAACTTTCCATTTTAAAAATTAATAAGAAAAATATGTTGTATTTAAATTTTGGGATCAAGCGATGACCCATGAGGAGTGACAAATAAACACTGACTATAGTTGGTGCTTATTTTGTCAAGTTGATTATCCTTAAATTACACTGCCGTGGGAGCAGGGACGATGATTTTCTGCGGTGACAAAATGACAATTCCGTCCGTGATAAAAGATGATTCTGCAAAAATTATGCGATTGGCCGGAATTACGTAAAGTCGGCCAGCATTAAGATCCACAAATTCTGGCTGAATTAATATCAGCCGGCATTATGATGACTGTAGACCCTAAATCCAGGCCAAAATTTAAAAAATGATCTGAACCAAT